CCACAGGTGTTTGCCGACTCATTTGTATACATATAGTTTTTTGGCGCAGGCAGCGCCATACGCTACAACACTAATTTTGTAACTTGTGGGCTTACATATATTAATCTGTAGTGTACATCTTAGATTATATGAATGAGAAGTACACACATTATATATATATATTTATATATATATATACGTGTACATATATATATATATCTATATATATATATGTAAATATATTTATATATATATACATATTTATACATATATGAATGTATATATATGCACACACACACACACACACACATATATATATAAGTATATGAATAAGTATATATGTTACATATATATATGTATATATATATATACATACATATATATATCGAATTATATATATATATATATATGAATTCTATATATATATATATATATAGATATAGATATATATATATATGTATATACACACACACACACACACACATATATATATATATATGTATGTATATAAGTATACACATACACACACACACACACATATATAAATATATATTTATATATAATATGTATATTGTTGTTGTGAGCTGAGACAGAGTTCGAGTGAGGTCAGCAATTATGGAATAAGTATTGTTTAATATGTCATTATTGGCTTGTGGTATGTTATGTATATGCTTATGACAATTCAAAAATTCGGTGCCTGACTTGCTGAGATTCACTCAGTTCAATGTTCTACTGACAGGATTTTTTTATCACTCAAGATAGTTGCTAATAGTAGGGATTGGGCGTAGGCATGATCTCGTCACGATAACGTGTACTGTACTTGTGAGTCTGTTGCACGTGTTGGACAGTTAAGGGTCACAACTCCATGGTTGTGGACTTGCTATGATATTTTCCCTACTTTGTGTAATATTCGTTTGCACTACATTTCGACAGGCCCGGAAAGTACGGAGAAGAGCCCTGAAGAGAGTAAATGCAAGTGCGTTCTGATGTGAGCGAGACTGACTGTAATTAATGACAAGTATGGCCTAAAACAACACACGGTGGCACAATTGACCGGGAGCAGATTGGTTTCAGCCGGTACATAATTTGCAATAGGATGCCTTGGACAAGCTTTCACCAGTACTCAACCTGATAGCGGATGGGACCTATGCTACAAATGCACACGAAGGCAGAGTACTAAGTATATATTCGGACAGTCACCGGCCGGTATATGTTTAATCGAGGTACATGTACCAACGGTGTGTATGAATGCGGGCTGAGAGCAGTGTATCAAATGGCCTGCGCGTTTGCTTGTATGCTGCTTACCGTGCGATAGTATGAACGTGTACCGCTGAGTGCACGCGTGCTTGCCAACTGCGTGCACTGGCGCGCTGAGACAATATCATGAAAGAAATATCCGAGTTTATTTGTACTTTGGGAACTTCGTGAGATTCCCAACATGGATACATAGCGGGTAAGACTGTCTGTTTTGACTTGGGGTTGTGAAACAGAAATGTGCGGCAACGTTTCTTACGAGTGACGTTTAGATCGATTCATGAACAGAGCAACCACTCGACTCAGCTTAGAGGCAAACAAAAGCACACAGCCGACAGAGCTAAAACAACACTTCGAGTTTACACAGTCAGCAATCCTGGGACACGGCTTATCGATTTTAGACCTTTTCAAGATTTTGAGAGCGGTTCACAGAGTTGCGCACAGTAATTATAAATTCTTTATCATATACCCCCATGTGGAAAGTGTGCCGAATGAAGGATTAAAGATATACGCCTTGTTGGTGCGTACTTTTTTGTGTGTACAGTATTGAGAAATATATTATATTGTCGATGATAACACGCCATTGAACAATTAATGGGAGGGTTCACACTACCAAAAATACTAAATAAATGACATATGAACATAACTTCCCACAGGGCAGTAAGCTAAGCTCTCGGTAGTATTCGATGTCGATATTTAATTGATTTGCCAATTAAAAAAGGTATTCATATGGGTTTCCATACAAAGTCGTGCATTGTGCAACGATTATGATAGGAATCATATTTACATATGATATTTCGTTTACGCACTCTTGAGTTTAGTAATTAGTCTACTTTAACTCAGTAACTCTAATCTGCATTGCACGAATACTCTCTCTAGAGCTGTAGGCCTGTAGAGCAGTCTAGTATTTTTTTACCGCGAGGATGAATGGTAGCCGTAGGCCGTAGGTGTTTTGTCAGAGACTTAGGTTCTCATTCAGGGAATCAGGGTTGTGTGCTGTAAATATAGTTGCTACGTCGACGCAATAATTTTTTAAACTTTTGAGGGTGAATGGGATTGGTAGGTGTGTTGTTAGGGACTCAAAAGAGTCGGTGACTCAGGCTTGTCCTGTGTCCACGTCGATGCAATACGTAGTACATACTTTTAACTTCCGAGAGGAGCGAGTATTTAGGACTGAGAGTAGGTGTATTGTCAGGGAGTGACAGACTGTTAGGGGGGGCTCAGAGTCTCAGACTCACAAAGTCTCACAAAGTCTCAATCAGGCTGTCACAGACGTCGGGGACTCACAGTCTCACAGTCTCACAGTCTCACAGTCTCACAGTCTCAAAGAGTCACGAATTCAGGATGGAGTGTCTTTTTAAAAAAACAAAACAAAAAGGGATCAATGAGAAATTTCTGATTCTGATTCCGTTCAGAAAGTTTAAAGGACATAAAGTACAGTTTTGGTGCATAGTGACTCGTAGAGTCTTAGTGTGCATCTATTGAAAATTTGGGTCTGCAAACAATTTTGGGTGCAATTCGTTTACGTATATTTCAGAGAATTTTGAGAGAAGTGACTCAATTTCTCTTAGAAGGTTTCAAGTTTTTCACCAATCAGAAACGATTGAAACTACGTTTATGACCTGGAAATCGCAGTACATATTCTGATTCCAAATTTCGAGATCAATTTTTATTCTCGAAATTTTGTCCTCTCGTTTAGAAAAAAAAGTTTATAAAATTATTACCTCTCCATTGGTTCAAAAATATATTTCTGATTCTGAACGTTCAAAATCAGAATTTTTTAATCCTGTTTAAAACGACACCCGGGCTCAGGGCTCAGGGCTCAGGGCTCAGGGCTCAGGGCTCAGGCTCAGTCGGCAGGCCCTCAGCCCCCTCAAAGCTCAAAGCCATAGTTTAAAATATATTTAAATAAAATAATAATTAGGCAAGCTCAAGGCCTTAAGCCTCGAGCTAACTTCAACACGTACTACGTTGCAACGTTTTCAAATAAGAAAGTAAAAGTAAAAAGTTAAATTTGTAACTTTTTCCTATATATTCGTAGTCCTAAAGCTACCCATAAGAGCATTGTCCAGGTCAGAGTTTTGTCCTAACCACATTACCTAACTAGTGACCGCCCAACCATCGGTTCTGGAGACTTGAGCGTTGGTTGAGCGCTGTCAAATACATTAGCCCGCTACAGTGTCCCTTGATATTGACGATGTTCACATTCTAGAAGTTAAGGTATATATAAATGATAGAGATATTTAGGATTTACAGTCCACAGGCAACAGGCTACACAGTCTACCAGCACGATTAGCTTGACTTTTGTGTTATTAGTGACTTAGTGCCTAGTGACTAGTGTGACAAGTTCGCAAGTTCACAAGTGCCATATTGTCAGATAAAGAAAATGCAAAGATAATCACTTTTTAGTTGTTTTTCATTGGTCGGTTTTGTATTTTGTGGCCAAAAGTGTGAGAATAGGTGCACTATCGTGGGCAGCAAATCGAAACAGTAAAACGTTGCAACGTTTTCAGACGAAAAAGTAAAAGTAAAACGTTCAACTTAACCTCAAAGCACGGCCCGGGTCTCAAGCAAGAGGCTATGGCAAATTTAGAAGTAATAAAGAATAATTGCTAATTTGGGTCATGAGTAGACTCAGTAGAGGCACAAAAATATACCACAAGACTCCACAAAGTCCACATTGGCCACAACGGACTAAAAACCAAAAACCGCCATCAAGTCCAAGATGGCCCGGTTTTGGTTTAACTTTACGATATTTTGATAGGTCCTAAAGTCTCCTTCCCTAACTACCCTCAAGCCTCAGTGTCTTGATGATTTCGGTGACCTGATTTATAAAAAAAAAAGAAAGTCTACTGTGGAAAATGTATACTTTATTTTATCTTTAAAAAAAAACAACTACGCTCTCGCTGTCACAACTCAGTACTCACAGTCTCACAACTCACAAATACTTTTTTATTTTTGAAATTGTGAAATAAGTTTTTGGACGAGTAAAACTGTTGAATTCAGAAGGCAATGGTGAAACACCTTATTTCAGTGACTACTCGCGTGTTGAATTCCATATTTCCATAGCCCTTTAAAAAATATATATATATATATATACGTGAATTCTGTGACGTTTTTGTTGTTTTGGGGAATTCAGATTTGTTTTCAAAACGTTCCATTTCGAAATATGTACAGTCAAACCTCGATTATTGTATAGGGTCCGATTTCGGCCAAAAATTGAACAAAAATAGAGGTAGACAATAATGGTTATATGGGTCTGGGACCTATTTTTCCGGTTCATGTTGATATGTACTGCGCCTGCAACATTACAGTTGCTTGGATTGTTTTGATACTCTCTGCGCGATCGTATTCACAAGACTTCATGAGGTCAAAACGATCCTTCTGTTGTTCACTCGTGGTTTTGAACTCTTCACTGTCTTCATCACACTCATCGTGTATTTCCTTCTCAATTTCTAGCTCCTGCACACCCCCCATATGATAGTATCTCTTCGATATTCGATAGTTGCATTTCGGTTGATTCATCAACTCAATCATTCACTTCGGTTCTCAGTGCGGATGTTATGGGCTCGTCGGGATTAAGTATCATACAATATGACTTTAACGTTGCTGTGAGATCAATGATTTCGCTTTCTTCCCTAGATGTGATTCGCTTCACATAATCGGGCGTATTATTTATCAGGTTGCCCTCTGGAAGACAAGTTGATTTCAGCCAGCAATGGGCAATGCTTTTGACAGTTGTAGTTTCCCATATATCGTGTATGATGCGGGCAGCATCTAAGAGGCTTAAAATAGTGGGTCCGTCTGAAAAAAACTGGACAAAAATAGAGGTAAACAAATAGGCTGACGGTACAACAGTCTCAGTTCTCATCACACCTCATTTTCATTCTGGACGCAGAAAAGTTCCGTGCGTATGCCGTATTGCTGTACGTTTAAAAATAAATAAATAAAATTCGGTTTTTAATATTAAAAATGATAAAATATTAATATTATCGCTCTGCCGCGGGGCGGCGACTCGGCGAGGGCTATCAACAGAATTAAAAATAGGCCAATAGATTACCGATATTATTTTGAACTAATGAAAGGAAATCAATGATAAACAGAAATATAACTCAGCTAGTCTGATTACTCTTTGGTACTGGGCAACTGGCAGTCTGGGCATGGGGGGCCCCAGGGCCTTGCCCGCCTAAAATTTCAACCAGTTTTCGCGCGTTTAGCAACTTCTGGAAGGGTTTATTAAAAAAAGGGCTAAGCTAGATCAAACCGTTTCCCTTTATAAAACTTCTATAAACGGTAGTATTTACAGTGATTAGAATGGCTTACCTAAGTTCTTCGTATAGGACTGCCTCGTATAATATAAGAAGTAGACACTTGATTTTCTAGCCCCGAGACGTGCACCTAAAAACATACAGAGGACCGTATATGTAATAAAAGTTAAACGTAAACGTATATTTTATTCATTTTGTGAAAATTTTAACGGGGAACACGACCTCAGTCACCTCACGGCTCACGCTCCTCAACCAGCCCAACGAGCACGACTCACGCGAGTGACAACTGACAACTTGACAAGAGTCGAAACTCTGGTCTCTGTGACAGACTGACAGTGTGAGCCTGTGAAATATGTATTTACACTTTTATACTTAATTAAAAAAAGAAGAAGAGACTCCTCACTCCTCTCAGTTCTCAACTTCGGGACTTTCTCATCAATGACGCACTCCAGTCTCACAGACTCTCACACTCACAGCCACAGACTGACAGGCGGCCACAGCCCACAAAAAAAACCCACACCACAGTTCAGACTTCAGAATTCGACTCTCTCTCTCTCTCCCAGACTCTCTCTCTGAGAGAGAGAGAGAGTAGTAGAGTTTTAGTCACCAGCAGCCAGCAGGCCATTACTATAGACATCGCTCTTCAGTGTTCAGAAAAGTCTACTACATAAATACATATTAACAGTTCCATTCAGTGAATGAAAACAGTGCACACTGCAGCAGCAGCACAGTCAACACCTCAATCGCAGAGACGCAGACCTTTTGGGCTTTTTTAATTTTTTAATTTTATTTCAAATTTTTAGTTGTTTTACAAAAAATAATATAAAAATTGTGAGTCGTGCTTACTGTGTAAATAAATAAATACATATTGTACCAATTTGTTAGCAAACCAGCCATTTTCTGCATTTCAATATGTGTGGGGCAATACAGTCTACGTGGGTGTACACTTTGATCCTCGTAGCTTGCGTGAATGCCGCTGGCGCGTCGATCACTTGCCCTTCTGGATCTCACAATGTGACCGCTTTAGATCACTTTCAGACTCGAGGAGTGTATGCCCAGTATTACCCAAACTATGTTGACACAATTGCCAACGGTGAGCACATCATACCAAAACTAAGTGCTATTCACTATGATCGTGTGGAACCCATACTAAATATTGAAGGTCTCACCAAAAATAACGCAGCTCTGAAGGTGAGTATTGTATTTTGGTTTTTCTCCTTCACCCGATTTGCTTCGTAGTTTTGCTATCTATTTTTATCCGTGATATATCTTGAGAACTCAAGCTTTATTCCAACTACGTACAGCGGCGACTAACATCTATATTCCCATTCCGTCCTAGAGTTTTCTATATCGTACATGATAATCGCCAAATCTGCACGTGGTATATGAAATGGTTTACTATTCACATGCGATAGCTGAATCTTCACAGTATGGATGTTGCGTTCAATCGGCGTTTTGGCCGTTGTGAAACTGAACGAATCAGGTGGGGTTTTTATGAGAGTAGTATATCAGCACTTGCTCATATTATTATGTGGCGTAATATCCATAACGCAGGGTGGCCTTCCGAATCCTGAATTATTTCACTACTCTGCACCAATCATGGAAGATAGAATATATGCAAGATTCTTGTTTCGGTTTATCGCACCTTGCGACGGTGAGTATAAATTTCGAACATCAGCTGACGACGGAGCCATCTTGACAATCAATGGAGTCAGAGAATCATACGACTGGAGTGGTCATCCCGAACAGCAATTTTATACAGGTACTGTTTGAGTCGAATTGGAACACTATCGTGTTTGTGTATGTCCATCTGTTTGGATAGCAGACGAGGTTTCTGGTACGCATTTTTTCGTCGTCCAAAACGAGTTGCATTTGAGACTGCGCTCTGCTCATCACGAGTTTACCGCACAGGATCTCATGTCAGGTGTACCCGTCCATATAAGCAGATTCACTCCGTTTCGAATGAGATCATTGAGTTTATTGCGTTAGTTTAATGGTATTGTCAATTCGCCTTCATATCTGAAGTGAATAAATAAATATAAAACTATATGCCATGGAAAGGGTCAAAGCGATTTTTCTGTTGTGATATCGAAGCAGCAAACTATGCTGCATCAGCCACAGAAAATTATGCTTTTACTGATAGCAAGCTTCTGTGTACTTCAGACAACGTAGAGCGCTCTGTTCATAGTTATAGGTTCGCTTGTTAGCCCATTTTTAGTGTTTTAAATCAAGATCATGTAAGATTTTTTGTGGAAAATTTACACTCAGTCGAAATAATTAGATAATCAATGACAAGTTTAGCTATTGCACATAGGTAGACCGTGCCCCTTTTGTGATAATCAATCATTATATGTACGTCTTCCTTTTTTAAAATATGTTATATTAATTGTCATGTAATAATGTATTTTATTTTATTACCCCGTTCGTTCCGAATTTGCGTACGGCAGAAATCACAGCGGCGATTAATTTAGAGCGAGAGGCTATGGTAATATACACGGTTGTCGTTTGACGTGCAAGCGCTCAATCCATCTTATATTTTTGTCGCACCAATCTTTTGCAATCGCAGATAAATTCACGTTCACCGCCGGGTCTGTGCGTTCAGTCATGTTTGAGTATTTTGAAGGAACGGGCCATATGGTTGTTCGGCTGCAGTGGAAACCCCCCGGTGCCTCGGATTACTCGGTGGTGCCCAGTGAGTATTTAGTCCCTGCCATGGGTCCTGAGGTAAGATCCATATATGTATACACATCAGTACACGGGTACACAATATCTAGACTGTATGTGGTGCCTTGCAAGTTTTGAGTTTACTATGAGGTCTGAAATTCATCCTATACGTATACGCCCATAGTCACGCATGCATTTGCAATTCGGTACATAGTGTGTTCAGCAGTTAGCCGATAGCTGATATGTGTCCCAAATTCAGTACACTTATAGATTGATTAGTGTTCCTTTGCAGTGCACATAAAAGTACTCGGTTTTATTGACAAATGCGAGATACATTGTTCAGTGTATATTTGTGTATAATTCATGTGGCTAGAAAGGATTTAGAACACGATGGAACATGATCCTCTCGTAACGTTACACATGCCTCAATTCCGGATTCTTAAAGGAATACATTTATGCTTCTATTTGCGGAGACACGTTTTACTATTGCACTTCTCGTTGTGCTGCGACATCTAGCTCATGTGCGGGTTCTGATACTATGTTTTATTAATGCAGACGTATGGAATATCTACCACTGTTACATTCTGCGAGTGAAGTTGGTCGATGTTTTGCGGACGTACGAAGGATTCGATGAATACGTTTGTAGCCTGTATGCTTTACTAGCTGGTAACTGATGGTCAATTTGATTCATGAATAGTTACATAGATACCTGTAGTATCACAGATGGCATCCAATGTTGCAACAAGATTACCCTAAGATATAATTGCCTGTAAAATAACTACATGTAACTTGTATTTTATTGAAAGCAATGTCGACTAAGTTCTTTGATCGGATTTTTACAAACTGCACAGGTACTCGTCACCACGCACAACACGATCACCATCGACGGCAAAGCTGAAGTTCAGTACTTCGAGGCTCGCTTGTCGGAGAAACCGCTGCAGACTGTTTATGTGGATATAGGCAACGAGGCCGGTGCCGACATATTTGGTGTTGACAAATGCGTTCTTATCTTCACCCCCGAGAATTGGGAAACTCCTCAGGTATGCAACTGATCAAGTATATTATATGTATAAGCGCTCATCTAGAAGATTGTATTTTCTTCTGTTTTTGAGTCTAGCATCTGGATATCTCTTTTGACTGTATTTTTTAACCCGAGCATCGTATAAATTACGTAATACGGTGCGCCGAATGCAAGACAGCCGAGCACTATATGGTACTCAAAAATGCCCTTATCTACACTCTCATGGTGGTTTATCCGATCACCTGTTTTTCAATCTGATTTGTTGCAATGTGCTCATGTCTTAAACGGTTAAAGACGCGGTTGCTTCAGAGTAGAGGCCCGGTCGGGACTATCGGGCGATATAAACTCTGATACATTATATACGCAATCTATCATCTATAATTCTCACCACAGACCGTGCACGTGGCGCCTATTCTGGGTACAACGTCCACTCGTAAAGTGGAAGGCACTATGTGGATCACCTTGAAGCCGAGGTACAACAAAGAAATTGCACCAGGTGGTGTGGCCGTGATCGATCCCGCGACCAGTCCTCAATCGTCTGGCAGCAGGGCACAGTGTACCGGTTGGGGAGATCCTCACTACACAATGTTTGACGGCAAGAAGTTCGACCTTTACGAACAGGTATGCACAATACTCACGTGATTTACTAGATTTAAAATGGCCGAGTGAATTTGTCGGGTGTTGATATGTGCGTTGTGCCCTCATCTTGTCAGTACGGCTCACCGCGTGTCGAACGCGCAACAGATTCTAGCTGAACGCAAGTCTGGCGTATCTCTGATTTAAACGATTGGCTTGTTAGCGTCTGTTGCAGTATACTATAATGGAGTACGAGATTTTCGATTATATGCTCTGAGGCAACTTCCAGAATTTCCTGCTTCAATCATAGTACCACTTGTGGGCAATCCACTCAATCTTTGAACGCAATTGGCCATCCATATCGGTACTTCCCAATGGCTGAAGTGATTTTATGCTAATAAAGTCCACGTCGTACCTCATTTCAGGGTATGTTCACTCTTGCACGTGATTACACGGGAGACTTCGGCGTACAAACATATCTGATTCCATGCGATGAAATTGGTGCCAAAGTCACTTGCACATATCTTGGATTCTTGGTCTACAAGGGAACCAAAATTCAGTTCAGGATGAATCCGGGCGAATCCCACGCGGACATTTGGTGAGTGGTGTGGTGCGGTGTATTGTGGTGTTCAACATGCGTTGTTTTCAATTCCGAATGGGGAAAGGAAAGTATGGTAAAAACACCATATTATCCAATTATCGTCTTGGGGTATTTGAATCTATTCTATACCTTCGGAAGTGATGTACCGTCCCAATGTACTCATTTTATGCGTGTTCTCTATTTCCTTTGTGAATAGGGATCCCACAGTGTTCGTAGACATCCTTGAAGACAACAACAACGGCGTATCCATGGTACGGAACAGCGATAACAATGTTGTGTTCAATCTTCCCAACGGAATGTCCGTCAAATGCACCACTGGATTTTATAGAAAGGAACGGCAAGATGGTGAGTCGAAAACTGTTATAGCGCCTGTCGATTGTCTGACGTTTCGTGAACATCTGAAACTAACACACATGGTACACGATGCGAAATTTGTACGTACTAGAGTAGCTATCTCGTGAACGCTCAAAGTTTCTAGTTGCGTTGTGATGTTAACGTTCTAGCTAGTATCAATACAGGTTGGAATTTATTATTAATAGAATAGGCTTACACAAATATCTGTCAGATGTCATTTTTATTCCACTTCAACTTACACGAGACACTGTGCATACTATTTCAGGCAATCACTGGAGATACCTCAATTTCTACATAGAGGCACCCACAACCATGTACGAAAAGCTCACCGGTATGTGTGGGCTTTTCGATGGATCGTCTGACGGAGAAACGACCAATCCTAGCGAGATCGCCGACGTAAGTTATAGTGTACTTTATTGACTGACACTACGTTTCCTCGCATTTTCAACACATTTAGTTCATCATGGTATTGACCAATGCTAACAACTGATCAATGGTCCCACACGAAATGTGCGGGTGAGCTCTCATCTAACACACAAACCGTTAGCTCACTGTCAAGCTGACATGTGTTATCTGATGCCTATGGCTGGTTCTGTCTCTTTTTAGAAAGTTTGAGGAGAAATACAATACAGTACGCCTCTGCCGTTATGTGTAGCTCCATATGTATGTTCTCGATGTGATCGTTTGTACGTTGATTGGTAGTCTTTCAAACTTCAGCATCTATGTTTTGCTTCACGGATACAGACACATAGACGCCGTACCAGCAACCGCACACACGTACTTATACAATGAACTAATTCTTAGAAAAATGAATTGTATCACAGAAATGGCTTGTTACAGACGAATCGGAATGGATCATCTATGGGGATCAGCAGCCCATTTCCCCAACACCAACACCCCGACCCGACGACCCTACAGGTCCCACCAGCGGCTATACCCCACCAATCACTATGGATGCATTTGAATTCGCGGATGGTTGTAACCCGAATACAGCGCCTAATGAACCCCTACCGTCATCGGGTTCAGGGGTATGTGACTGTTAGGAGGTGTATATGCGGTGCTTTCTTTTAGACAATTTGAATGATCGTATATGCGCTGTTCTGCACGGCATATCCCGAGACATATCTCTTTCGCGGTATCTCATAAGCGTTCGAAGCCGCTAATCCACACGGGATGTTCTCGTCCTGTATCGCATGCAACATAGTGCCCTGTTTCATGTATCTTCATATGATGTATTTGTACCGTCCCCAGTCAGAGAAAAATATTTCGCATTCGGCGAACCTCTATGCAAACACAGATGCCAGTTTCGGTGTCGTGGTGCTGTTTGCTACCCGAATCCACTCATGTATTGATGTGATCTGACAGCCCTCGCCACTTCGCTCCCATTCTTTCTCTTTCCATCATTTTCTTTTCCCATCGTCAGTCTCCGATCACACCCAGAACACTGAACAGTACGTACGAGCCCATCGAGGACCCAGAGCCTACCGACGAAGTTGTCAACGCGTGCAAAGATATTATTAACAGTGGAGTCTGCGAATCAATGTCGGATGATGATATTCTAGGGTTTGTTGAAGGCTGTGCGATTGATACCACGCTTGCCGAGGTATGCAATTGGATAGGGTCATGACATTTAGGCTTTTTGAAGACAATTTTTTATACATGCTGTTGTATTCATTGCTAAACGTGCAAGTGTCTGTATTATTAATATATGCCGAGAGTTGCATGATATAGAATTCGCTCGTAGTGGTATGTTACTTTATAGTGAGGTGCTTGGTGTGGTGAACTGTGTAAATCAGAGGGTGCCTTTGGATTCTATGATCGTAACAGAAAAAGGGGGTCGTTGAGGGCAGTTATTTTGTGTTGAGGGCTTGATGTATTCAAAGGCGTGTGCTTGTGGGGGATACTGAATGTTCGTATATAGGATATGGTTCGATCAATTTTTCTTGGTCCGGTTGGCGACTTTGGTACGAATAATAAATAAATAGCAAGCACCTGATAGGATTGTATCGTATATTTGGTTGCAATTGATAGAGACTCATACTCATCATTTAAATTTCTATTTTTTGAATGCAGCTGGATGTGCCACCCCCCGAAGCAGCGGAACCATTCTTAGAAGCGTGCTCATTCGAAGAGAAAAAGGATGCTTGCAACCAGTGTACATCGCTTCAGCAATGCGACATGGCCACTAATACCTGTGTGACTGTGGCATCCAGTTGTGGAGTTGGTTGTGGCGAAGCGAACGGGCACGGTACCTGTGATGAATCCAATAGCGTATGTGATTGCACGGAGGATTATACGGGTATACACTGTGAATCCCCCCTAGAGCCCTGCAAGACTGACCCATGCTTGAACGGGGGAATTTGCTCGAATGAAGCGCTTCAAACTACCTGCGAGTGTGTTGACGGCTACCAAGGTGTACGATGTGAGCAGTCTCCAGCATGCCAAAGCGCTGGGACGGATGAAAGTACAGGTAAAGTGTACAAGCTGGAAGTATATACGGAATGCATAGCTTAGTAAACTCATGCAGACATTATCAGCTGTGGACGTATGCTCACCATTATGAAACGGATAGTGATAGATATAAGGCGACCCTGCCTGCTGTAGGCGTACACTTGCTGCTTTTGACTCTATAGTGTATTGTTCAGAAGAAACCTACAGCAGCAAGGTGAGTCTATATACAAGACATGTAAAGTGAATCGTCGGCATCAGCACAGTGAGATGCGTCGAGTGAGCGACAGGATCTACACCGTGCTGGAGATAAAGTTTTTCCCAGTAGATGCAATAGAGTACCTCGTGCATATACACCAGTTTGTGACGAGCCAACGCGGACAGGACAATTCTTCCCGACGCTGCACGAATTTCAAAGTAAGGCCTCATGTACACATATTAGTATTTCATGATCTGAAGCGATAGGATCCTGATTTTACGTAGGCAATTTTAATACTCCTCTATTTACAAATAAAATGACTCGACCTTCAAATCGACAAGACAATATAGGCCATACTCAGTCGATACACCCACGCCGGTAGTTCAATTTAGTTATGAACGTGTATATGTACTGGTAAATATTAAAATCAGTCGACGAATTTATCTGACGAGTTATCTGCCTGCCTGGATTGTTGTCAGGGAAGGTGAGTCAAATTTGAATATTTATTGAAACAGTAAGTGTTGCATCAAGTTGGGCATCTCATAGTTAGAGAACTAAGCTCACGATACCATGGCTGTGATTGGAATGGTGCTGCAGTTCTCTACATATGTGCTATAGAAAACAGTATATGAGGGCAATACACCCGACTACCAGTTCATTTTACATACTACAATTACTCTTGAATTGTCAACAACAGGTACGAGAAATCCATTTTCATTTAGGAGCAGCGAAAAATTGTAGGATTCATGTAAAGTCTGAAAAATGAAAGTATGTCCAAAAAGTGCGAGTGTTAATAGGCGGAATAGCTCAGTGGTTAAAACACTGAATTGTAATCTGTAGGCCCCGGTTCAGGCGAAATCGTAAAAAAAAGGTCTATTCACAGGGGTTCACACTGCAGGTTGACGCCTGAGCTATCCTCGACCGGTTGCTGGGCAGCCTGGGGCACAAAATTCGAGAAGGCTCGATAAATAAAAACGGGTCATAGCAAGACTATGACGTCAAGAGATCCGAAGATTAGAGCGGACGTCGCCATTGAGACCAACTGATGAAGGCCAGAAATGAGACAGACGAGTGGACGGACGACTGATATGCCGAAAAACCAAAAAGACAAAAGGCCAAAAAAAAGCTAAGTAAAGACCAAAGGCCCGAAAGATAGATCGCAATAATTGTTCTGACCAATCACGAATTGTACACAACAAGAAGGAACACCATCGCTTTTTGGTTTTTCTTCGGACATCGTTTTTGAAACGAACCACTTGCTTATCTTGTGCTAAAAAGCTTTTTATCTTGAAACGATCGTTTAGGCAAATGTGATATTTGCAATTTAAACGTATCCGATGCGTCCGAGCTTTAGGCCGAAAAAATTGCTTGACCAGTCTCGTAATATATACAGCAAGAGATGACAGAACAGTGTGCTTGACACCTTTCCTCAATGTAGTAATTTGATCATCGCTATCAATATATTTGTCATGAGGGTTTCGGCGGGTACACATTTATTCTGCGAGATATATACTAAAATGTAGAATGGCACGTCGAGAAAGTATACTCCCCTCACACAGCTTGAAGCTTTGTTTCATAATGAGTTCACCTGCTACCAGAGACAGTAATATTCACATGCAGATCCTCTCAGTAAAGGTTTATTCTATTTGGGGGTTGGGACGTCAACTTTCGCAATGCGAGGGTCTCACTTCACTCAGAAGGATTGTCTTGGTGAATAATAAAATCAACTACTACTGAACAAACCCTCGTCCAACAGAAATTTAGTGGCGAACGCTACTATTATTTGTTCGAAGGTCGTTTTATTTCCATAGAACATTTTAAATTCTATCAGGTATTTATGTTATAATTTAGAGTTCTATTTTCTTAGTTCTCACAATTTAGAACAAATCATGTACATTGTCATGATTTCCCCCACCTACATCGGTGTGAAAGAGGTCAAGGGATTTCAAAAAGAACGCGTTCTCATTGGCATGACCGGAGAAGTAGCCGTCTTCTCCAGCCGCACCGAAGTGTCCCGCATCCCAGTCAGTCTGTAGCAAACATGTGCTTGACCTACAGTATTCATCTTTTGTATCTTCCCTATAATCACTTGCACAATGCTCGGTCTCACCACTACCTAGATTTCCCGTCGAGGTATATAGATTGTCGCCAGTTATCTTCGTAGAGTCACCTGGAATCGGATTTAGCCGAGAACCGTAATATTGCAAGGAGCGCAAATGCCTTAGTTTAGCCACCATCTTCGCTGGGTGCCAGTACGGCACTCGATTATCTTTCATTGAACCTGAAATTAGAAATACAAGTCTTCACCAATTAAAGAGAATAATAATAGCCAAGTGTCGTAGTAATAAATTTTGAGAGCATTATCGCGTAGCTGGAACGTTTAAGATACAAATAAACATATAAAGTGGCCCTTTGGAAGTCAGTTCTTATGCCATTATAGTCAGAAGTAAGACTGCGAACTGGTATCCAATGTACAATTTTACACAGTTTTTATTGAGAATCCAACCATGTAGAACAAACGTACATCCAAGTTATAGCTTAATAGGGGGCTTGCGGTTACGCTGAGAAGTATCGCGAGGAATGTGGACGATTTTTAATATTCGATTACGTATCAAGTGTCTTTATGATCACACCAAGTCACCCAAATTAAATCTCCTTATTCATTGATATACACACAATCATGCTGCCCATGCTCATCTATCGATCAGACACAGTCACACTCTCAAATTTACGAAGCAATGTGTACGAGCGTGTCTCTCGTATTGCTCATACCTGTGAATAGCATATCAGGCAGTTGGCTGTCAGTTGTGAGATTGTCGTACGGACAATACGTCTTGATATAGTCGTAGACTGCAACGCTGGTGGATGGGTCGCCCCACTCATCGTACTCGTGCACTGTCAAGGCCAATGTGTCATCCAGCATCGCTGTCAATACATCTGTAAATGGGACCTAGCGTGTGCAGTCCAAGAACATTTGCGGAATTTGAAATGCTATAAACATAAAGTATACACTTTCAATAAATGCGCGAGGGGTAATCGCTGTTGCCTCCACTGACGCTGAAGCGTCAATAATATTTCGATATCGAATGATGTAAGCAATCGGCGGATGTTTGGAGGTGATGTACACGAGCTCCTTATGCACATGGTATACACACATACATGACCTCCGTCGCATGAATGGTAGTTTAATGGAAAGACACATTGCGCCGATCTGAGATATAGTATGGAAGTCGAGTGACAAAAAACCATCTTATGTCCAATTTAGCAAACTGGTTCTGAAGGCCTTATCCCAACAATTTCACAGCAGACTTTCAACATAGAATGGCCGGTTCAGAAAATGCAATTATACAGCAAATTCAAACCAAGCCTTCAGAACGGCACAATACAATGAATCAGAAATCATTTGAACTAAAAATACCTTGATAATAGAACACTGGTAATGATGCGCAATCATTTGACATACACACCGCACATTTCCCTAACAGCTCAATGGAGTGAGAAAATTTACTGGCTGACAAACACACATCGAATGATTTCAACACCACGATAACAAAGGCGTTTTGCATGTATCACAAAATATATAGCATACCTTCATGACAGCGCACTTGAACAGAAAGGGCGATCGAATCACAACAGCAGCAGCCAACAGTCCGCCAGCACTGGACCCGCGAATGGCAGTCAGCGACGCTTGGGAGACACCTGAACAATAAATCGTATGCGATGGCTGACTTAGTTGAAATGCAGGTCTCCAGTATTTATCAACCAGGGTTGTATTCAGGGCAAAATTTTCATGTGGTCGATAAATTAGAACAAGGGGACAGTGCGAACCCCTTGCTAGGTGCAGACAAGTATGTCCATTTTCGCGTCAAACAGGGTTCAAAGTGGAATTTCAGTCGCAACGCCTTCAGCTCGTTAGCCAACTTGGTTCACGAGTACACATAGATCAAAGAAATCCACACAGGGGACTTTTGCGTGACGAGAAAAACGTAAAAAACCTTAGAGAGTTCAGCATTACTGTAAAAGCTGATAGGTGGCCGTAGAGAATGATGAGGACTAGACTGCACTAATTAAAACAGTTGGTGATACAGGTTGTATCCAGTGCACGATAAATACACTGCACGCAAGCCAGTCTACGAAAAGGAGTCAGTCGGAGTCTTTAATGGATCTCCAATCACATGTGCAGGCAGCAATAGGTTCACGTCGCACAAACAAATACTCAGAAACACGACAATCGCGAACAGTTCTCATATTTACGCGTAGGCACGTATTCGAGGATCTGCAACAAATGTTCACACGTGTGGATAAGTCGGCTCACCTGCGGAGTGGAGATGCCGCACACATGCCTCCATGTCCTCAAAGGATCTGTGCTTATTCATCAGTTTACCCATTCGATGCCACCGTTTGCCATGCTCTCCTGGATAATAATAGCCGCACGATATCAAATGCAAAATTTGAAGTACTGCGTCGCGATTGTAGATTGCTGCCACGTGGAAACTACAGCACACACTAGGCGGTACTGGTGTACGTAGAAGGGTACATTTCAATTGTTATGTTAAATGCGCGTTAATCCTGTCTGTGTTGCGCAGTATAGTCCGGGAGCTCTTATTTAGTCCACTATACTCACAGCACTTTAAAAATGCGAACTTACCCCCACCGCGCACGTGGCACAAGGCGTATACAAAGCCCCTATTCAACATTGGGATACGTTCAGCTTTGTAGTCGGCGTCCAGTTTGTGCCCATACGCGCCGTAGCCCTGCACTATCAGGGGTGAAGGCGAACTCTGCTCCAGCACACCGCGTTTGGCGATCAAAGTCATAGGCACAGCCGTTCCATCCGCGCTCTCTGATTTAGGGATATAGGTCAAGACGATATGGAGGGTTGTAGATTTGATATAATTATGTAAGGTTGACATCTCTGTAGTTGAAGCAAATAGAGTTCGTGCCCACATTTCTGATTGCGTTTACATCATCTTGGGGTAGCTCGATGGAGACCATAGAGGGAAAGAATAGACGGATGTTGTTTCCAGTTGGAGAACCAGGATATGATACTTGCAAGCAAAGAGCAATGATGGGTGACTTGCACAGAGAATTTGATACTTTACGTGGGTATCTTTAACCATACTTGTAAGTGAAAGCATTGTCAGGAAGCAAAATCGAAATCGGGACACTGTCGGCAGTGATAATACAAAGACTATGAGATGAAGTCTTGTACAACACGTACCTGCAAATATCTGGCGCACTTCGATATCATCCTTGACTAGTGTGGGTGGCATACGATTCTCAATGTTTTCCATATCGGCTATGCCTTCAGACAGCGACGGGATGGACACCTAAAGGAATGGCCATCGAAATAATTTAGAATAGTCAATGTTTGCACGAATTTTCGGGTTCTACAAACCACAGATCACATCAAATCCTTACACACAAACTGTAGATATAAGAATACTACATCTTTTCTCGTCGCGAAGAATACGTATGTGATAACGCGCTCGAACACCGATGATCTCCGTACTTCATCACGTCACATATACACATCAAAGTATAAAATCCTAAAAAGGGGTTGGTCAAGCATAGCGTAGATTCACATACCTCTCTGTGCGTGATCACGGAACCATCCCTCAAATCACATGTAACAACAACCTCTGGAGTCGATGGAGACGACAAACCCAAGCGCAAACAATGTGTGTTGTATGTCTGATTCGCACCTGGAATCAACGTGCACGCCGAGGATGGTAGCTTGGCTGTACGTAGTTCCCTGTGGTGCGGGTGTGGTTATACACGTTAATTCTTTGTTGCACAATTCCTCGTCACGAACAGATCACCCCATTATTTCTATATTTATGTCGAAAAATTGAGTTCACGAGCACAGATAGGTATTCCGTGGGCTGGTTCGACCGTGCGCGGCTCGCACTCGCTTTTTGTGGAATAAAATCTAGTATATGTACACTGGCGTACCCCAGGGTATCTCAGATTAGTATACCCTTAGCGGAGCATCCCAAAGTGGATGTAAAACGGCTTTCGAGAAGGTAAGTGTGAGGGACTCACCTTATTCGTGCGAGAGAAATGTAACGATTTAAATAATGCCGGACGGGATTCAAATTGTTGGAATTGAACTCGCGGACTCAAAGCAAAGCTAGTGATTGTTAATTAGTACCGAGATAAAAATGGGAGTCGTTCGTATCTGTCATATCCTCGAATATAACTAGTGCAGCTATATTCAAGTATGATATATGATAATCCAGATCCAGAACAGACACAGGATGCTTACTGTTGAGTGATTGTTCACTTCAAAAGGTATCTGCAGTTTGTTAGCTATAGTTATTGGAGTACAACAATCAAGTTTGCGTTGTAGCTCCTGGGCGAATCAACGATCAGCACTATATTGATGTTGTAACTTGGGATTATTCGATACCACCTAAACAGGCGCTTTGCCGCGAGTGCAACAGTGGTGAGTACCACACTGATAGAGAGACGTGCAAAAACTACCGACCACAATTCAACAAACTTACCGAGTATTCAAATCCATGATGGTCATTTTCGGCGCCCCATATTTGTCTCGCATATACATCACACAGTAGTCCGCATAGATGTCCATGTCCACTATAGGTTCCTGGGTCAGCGTGTTTCAAGCAGATA